CAGATTCACCTATTTAGCAAAGATGCAACTACTGAATTGCTTAATTAGTTAAAATTATGGTGATGAATATGACAAAATAACAATTAAATTAAATTAAAATAAAAACAAAATTGATGAAAATCATGGCTAGTCACTTACAGTTGTGTGAGAACTACATCCAGTTTCACTCTGAGTGGGAGTTTTTTTGGAGGCTGGATGGTTGATATAGGAGAAGAAAGATAACTGTCGCTTACTTCCCATGCTAGGGTGTCTAAAGTGAAAATCTGAAAATCAAGATTTAAACTAATAAATATATCACATTTTTTACCTAACTGAATAAATGCTCCAGCTCAAGTAAAATCGCTAGGAAAGCAGTGGTTTCACATTTATGATTTTTTAAAGTTTTTAAATCCTGTCATCAAAGGGTTAAAATTAAAAATTAATCATCGAGTATTAATTAATTGATTTCTCTCGACCTACGTGAACCTGCAGCAACGACGTAAAGTGGTACAAGTAATCTCTCTGTGTTTTGTGCCTACAAGGTAAGAGTTTTAATATAGAAATTGTTTAAAACTACTTGTTAAGTGCTTGTAATAGGTTAAAATAGTGATGAGGGTATTTGCGGTTTTTTCACCAATTAGTATAAATAATTTTGTAAAACTACACCGAGTTAATATACGAGATCCCTCATAGTGTTTTTGCATAGAGGGGTGGTTCTTCTATTTGTGTGCATAATTTAGAGTGATTCCTATATTCCTATCCATCTGGTTCAATGATTGTTTTACATGTAGGTTACTCTCAAATGAATACTAGAGCTAAAGGAGCATCTGTGTCATCTCAGTGCACAGGTATTAGTGTATATGAGTAAATTAGGTTACATTTGTTGTTAGGAAAGTCTGGTGGAGATTTTTCCCGTCAAATTCATACATTAAATATGGAAGTTCAAAATTGTAATAAAGAAGTGCAATTATATAATGGTGCAGAATCTGACCGTGGCAAGCCTACATATGGAGAGCTTATTGATCTTTTTGAAGAAGCATTAGACTCAGATGATCTTTGTGCTAAATTTAAAATCCGCTACCCTGAAATGAAAATCGGAAGGAGGTTTTATGACACGGTATCTAGAATAGCTGCACCAACAAAGCCATCTCTTACTGGGAAGTGTAGTATCACAGGAACGCAGCTTTTAACATACCGAAGACGAACTTGGGAACCACGAATAAGAAATGACTCTAGTAAGAGCATGTGTATATGTGTTACCTGTAGTTAATTCTTCTATTATAGATATTGAAATTACATTCCCTATTAAACTGCAAGATTATGAATTAAATGAAGATACTCTTACAGCTTTGTTCGATCAAGTTAGTAGTGGAGAAACAGAGTTGCAGTGGTCTCTAAATGAGGTAGTTCCAACTTGTGGTTTCTATAAAAACCTTCATCAGTTTCTTAAAAAATGGCCATTAACAAGAAGAATGACAAAAAGTGATATTGGAAGATTCTATATGGCAATTGATGATCGTTTGTGCCATTCAGGAGTGAGACCAGATAATGTATATAGGTTCATTGAAACCATTTCTAAGCATGATGAGGATGCGCCAGTGAAATATCTGAAATCAAAACAAGAAATTTCTGATCCAATACAGGTTGTTCGAGATAATGCACATGACATTCAAGCATTGAATTCTGAAATCAAATCATTAAGAAAAAAATTACATTCTGCACAGACTAGTCTAGAAGATGTAACAAACACAGCTGAAACTTATAAACTGCAACGAGATTGTGCTAGAAGAAAAGCTACCTACTATAAAAGTATTCAAAGTACACTTCTGGAGGATCTTGCTGCAGTTCAAGAAGATTATTGTGATTTATCAGAAGAGATGGCTGCACTTCAGCAAGAGTTATCTGCTGAAAACAAAAGTATTACTGATGTATGTTTTTCTGATGAAAACTTCACTATTGCTACAAAATTGGGAAGAAAATACTCACCAGCAATAAGAAAATTGTACTATTCTTTGTTTGCTAAAGCAGTTCCAGCTTCACAAATTACTGATATTGTTAAGACAGTTGTCAAAGCTTTTAATCCTTCAATAGATGTAGAGCAAATTAAACTTCCTACTAAACCTTGTGCTAGCTACATGCGTAAAGATGAAATGAAGACTGTAAGTGCTGCTCATAAAGCAACACTCTTAACTGAGCATGCTGCTAACAAAACAGGTTTTAAGCTAAACACTGATGGTACGACAAAAAACCTGAAAAAGATAGGAGGAGTGGGAATCAATGATATAGTTATTTCTTTGAATGAACTACCTGATGGAACTGCTGATACTGCGATTGCTGACATATCCCATGAACTAGAAAAGCTGCGTACAATTGCACATGAGCTAAAAATACCTAATGCAAACAGTATCAACTGGACAATGTTCGTTGCAACAAACTCTGATTCAGCTGCATCACAAAAGAAAATGAATCGTTTAATTGAAGATTATCAAGCAACAGATCAGGCTAAATATGAAACAGCAAAAGCAGCAACTTTTGACATCATCGAGAGTTTTTGCTCAATGCACCTAGCAGTAAATTTACGCAAAGCATTCTTAACTGGTGTATCTTTAGATTCTGCTTCTAATGCAGACAGGTATCATCCTGCGGATTTATTTGTACATGAGTTTTGTAAACTATTTGGAAGCTATGGTGTTCCTGAATATGGCTGTGGTATTAGTTTCAGGGACTATTTGTCAATTATGACCAGTGATACTAACCTCGATGAAGATGATTTGAAATACTATCATGACTGTTTTGAAGTAACACTTGAACGCCAAATTGGCAGTCGCTATTTCGTTACGGCTGCAAATGCGATGAAAATCATATTTCTGAGAGAAGCAGCCATTGAGTTTTTAAAATATACTGGCAGAGAGGAAGGAACTAAGTTGGAGAAAGAGGTATATAAAAAATTAATAGATGATAATCAAATGGCACTTCTTAAAGTTGATGCTTTGATTTTTTACCACGTATACTCTGACTTGGCTACACTTTCCAAAAGTAATGAACTTAATAAGTCAGTTCTAGATATGAACCACCACTACAATGAATTAAAACTCTTTTTGGAAGAAGTTGAACAAGTCCCTGCTGTTATGTTGAGAATGAATTTACAAGTATTTAAAGAAGACCGACTATATACAAGTGATAACTGTAAGATAAACCATCGCTGTAAAGTAAAATCAATAAAAATACACAAAAAGCTCTTTAAGGAATGTAACAGTTCGCTTTTCCAATTTTTGGTATCAGGTGTCATCAGAATGAAAGAGAAATTGTGTCATTATGCTCGAAGCAACCTACCTGGAGGAATTTATTGGGAACCTTCAGATCCTCAGGTACGGAAGGTTTTGTCAGAAGTGAGACCAAGTAATGACTTTTGTGAATCAATACTTGGGCTCAATGACCACCTCACAACTTCACTACCAAATTTACATCAGGTAGCTCGATCTACATTAGTTGAAGTGAAGAAAAATAAAACTGTTAAGTGGCTGGATGAGCTTCCACACGACCAGCAATTAACTGTGATTGATATGGCTGTCAGGAAAAGAGAAGCAGTAAATCAAGAAACCAAGTTAATGAGCAAACGAGTTGCTTCTCAGAGGAAGGAAAGAATGATTCATACTCATAAACGTCATGAAGCATATAAGAAGAAGAAAGAGCTGGAAAAGGATCGGTTATCACAAACTCATTTAATAGTATCATCCACAGAACTGCATGAAGCAATCAAAGAGATTGACCTAAAGAAAATATCTGCTACAAGGAAAAGGCAAGAGACAAAAATGCTACTGAGCAATCAAATCAAATTAAGAAAGAGTCTACTTAAGCAAGATATAAACATTAAGTTCAGTCATTCTGGGAAGCAACGTCCACTAGGTCAAGTTATTGAAGAGTTATCTAACTATATTGACTGTAATTTACACGATTTGTCACCATACATATGTAATCCTAGTGCACTAGTAGGTCGACGAATTAAACACAAGTTTATTGAGGAAACAAAAGAGATAGAGTGGTATATTGGGATGGTATTAGACTATGACAGTGATACTAAAGCTCATGAAGTGCTCTATGATGGGGAGGTAGATCATTGCTTCTTTGATTTGACAATGGATTTACTTAACGGCGATTTAATAATATTGTAAAATGTAACAACACTTCATATTTTTCATTTCTAGTTAAAAATTAGTCTAACTTTAAGTCTGATACAATATTAATAAAATGTTTTATTTCTTTAAGCATTGCCTTCACTTCTAGCTTCATCTCAGCAAACTCCGCCTTTAATAATTGCACTTCTTTATTACAATTTTGAACTTCCATATTTAATGTATGAATTTGACGGGAAAAATCTCCACCAGACTTTCCTAACAACAAATGTAACCTAATTTACTCATATACACTAATACCTGTGCACTGAGATGACACAGATGCTCCTTTAGCTCTAGTATTCATTTGAGAGTAACCTACATGTAAAACAATCATTGAACCAGATGGATAGGAATATAGGAATCACTCTAAATTATGCACACAAATAGAAGAACCACCCCTCTATGCAAAAACACTATGAGGGATCTCGTATATTAACTCGGTGTAGTTTTACAAAATTATTTATACTAATTGGTGAAAAAACCGCAAATACCCTCATCACTATTTTAACCTATTACAAGCACTTAACAAGTAGTTTTAAACAATTTCTATATTAAAACTCTTACCTTGTAGGCACAAAACACAGAGAGATTACTTGTACCACTTTACGTCGTTGCTGCAGGTTCACGTAGGTCGAGAGAAATCAATTAATTAATACTGGATGATTAATTTTTAATTTTAACCCTTTGATGACAGGATTTAAAAACTTTAAAAAATCATAAATGTGAAACCACTGCTTTCCTAGCGATTTTACTTGAGCTGGAGCATTTATTCAGTTAGGTAAAAAATGTGAGATATTTATTAGTTTAAATCTTGATTTTCAGATTTTTAGTTTAGACACCCTACCCATGCTGCAAAACTTGACGTAAATTACAGCTGTAGTCAGTTATTCCAATTATTATAATTTTATTAATGAAATTCATAATTAATCTTTTCTAACTCTTTTTGTTAGTTGTAATAAAGACAAAATGGCTCCAGTTTAAAGCTTCAAAATTTTTAGACAGGCATTGCCCGACTATGTCCGACCTTGCAGCCGCCTATGGGCGCAAGCCAGTTAATTTTCTATTAGTACAGGTGGTAACAGCATACCATGTCTATACCCTATATGGGTGAATGTACTTTTAAAAGACTTGTTTCATTCTTGGAGTAGCGTTAATTTTAAAAAGACTAACAGAGTGCCATAATTTGATTAGAAGGTAGAATTTATGTTCAAACTAGCATGCATTAGTTTTTATTAGTTTATCATGGTTAAAGAAGCAATTTAAATGCTTAGGACTTAAAAGAAGACTGGCAGACCCTGATAAAAGGACTGTGAATTATCTGATAAAGGTCCAATCTGTTGCCATACAAAAGGCTGCTTTGACATACTACTGCATGCATCATGATTTCTATAGGCAGTTACGAAGTCTTCTGGTGCCTTACGTGGTTACATGATAGTATGGAGAGATAAATATCATAAGATTGTAAGGAGATAAGTTCTATTATACTGAATTTTGTTGTACTTTTATGGAATTAAAAACACTGTTATGAATGATATGCGAGATTATGACCCAGATGGTGCAATTTTGAGAAGTAAAAGAAACCTACGGAGACGAAATTACTTTATTAAGAAAAATGTATAGTAAGTAAAAATCTAATGAAGTTTTATTGCCATTCAGGGACCAAATTTCGTTCAGCATTTAGACAACTATGACAAACTTAGCCCATTTGGTTTGACAATACATTGCTGTATTGATGGGTATTTATAAAAATGTGCATGTAAAAGTTAAT